GCATGCAAGCCACAACTACTGAGCCCACGTGCCACAACTACTGAGCCCACGTGCCACAACTACTGAAGCCCGCACGCCTCGAGCCCGTGCTCTGCAACAAGGGAAGCCACCGCAATGAGAAGCCCGCGCACCGCAACGGAGAGTAGGCCCCCGCTCGCCACTACTAGAGAAAGCCTGCTCACAGCACCACCCAATGCAGCCATAAATAAATAAATAAATAATTTTTTAAAAACAACCGCTCCTCACGGACAGTATTTAAACGAAGTGCTAACTGCAACACAACGAGAACTAGAAGGAAAGTAATTTACAACACCATAGTGAGAACTTCGACAACACCATAGTGAGAACTTCGACATGTCCCGGAAGGCTCAGGGGCGAGCCGAGCTGCAGGGGTCGGGGTGGGAGCTGCATTCCCGGGAAAGTCCGCGAAGGTTCCCCCGCAGTAGTACTCTGCTTGTTAGTGCAGCGCAGGGAAGTGATGGCTCAGACCCTCATTCACAGGCTCTCCACTTTCGGGAGGGTCGCGAGCTCCTCGCAGCCATGCGCCCCATCACTGTGAGCTCCCAGTCTCGCCCGTGGTGACCGATGTGTCCCGGAGAAGCGGACCCGGCTGAGAGCACGGAGATGGGGGGGCTTGGGCGTAGGAGGGTGCAGGCGCGGCTCCGGGTACAGTTGCCTCTGAGGGGCGAAGGGAGGGCGCTCTTGGAGCCCCCAGAACTGACCGGGAGGAGGAAGCCCCTTTCCCGGGTCTCCGGAACCGGGAGAACGCCGCTCAGGCACAAATCAGGTCCTGGGTTACACATGCCAGCTTGGGCGCGCCTGTTTCTTTAGAAAACGCATTTTGAGCTCCATTCGAGTAAGACACACCAGAGCCCATTCATTCATGATTTGGGCATTGTCTGAATGTTATCTTTATATTGTGAAAATAGTACCTGCTCATTGTTAAACAGTTCAAAAGCATAGAAAGAGGTAAAAGTCACCCGTAATCAATCCCTACACCCTTAGAAGATCACTGTAAATATTTTGGAATTCACCCTTTGAAACTTTTTTCCTAAGCATATTTCCTAGGTAGTATATACACACAACACATAACACAGTGGTATTAAACCACAGCATGCTTTTCTAACCGGCTTTCCCCCCCACACACACACTTAATATATTATGGTCTATTTTCCATGTTGATGTAGATTTACACATTCTATTTTTTATATATATAGTATATTTGTATGTTTTTATAGGTGTGTGATGACCAAAACATGAGTGTAAGATTTATGTAGTGATATTATTTTTGGTAAACATACTAGAAATACGTGGGTGCCCCACAAGACTCTTTTAGGAAAACTTTATGGTTTGTGTATCATTTTAAAATATCTTCACAGACCTATGGCTCAGCTTATCCCAATGATCATAATTATCTTTGCACGAATAATCTGCCATCCACTCTAGCACTGGGAGTCTTCTCTGTGTGGCCTCTTTCCACCTTCTATAACATCACCCGAGACAGGCTAATAATGGCTCCCTCTCTCTTTTTTTTTAATTTATTTATTTTATTTATTTATTTTTGGATCTGTTGGGTCTTCGTTGCTGTGCGCGGGCTTTCTCTAGTTGCAGCAAGCGGGGGCTACTCTTCCTTGCAGTGCACAGGCTTCTCACTTCGGTGGCTTCCCTTGTTGCGGAGCATGGGCTCTAGGCTCATGGGCTTTGGTAGTTGCAGCACACGGGCTCAGTAGTTGTGGCACATGGGCTTAGTTGCTCCGCGGCATGTGGGATCTTCCCGGACCAGGGATCAAACCCATGTTCCCTGCATTGGCAGGCAGATTCTTAACCACTGCACCACCGGGGAAGTCCATCAACTCTGAAATATTTTTGCCTCTAGTTGTCCCATGCAGACTATTCATAAAATCTACTTCTTCAGTAACTACAAACTCTGCTTTGGTTTCTTGAATAAACAGCAACAACTGAACAGTATTGGTAACATCTGTAGATTCATCAAGCCTAGGAAAACCACTCAGAACTGTTTGCCATGTGTTTTAATTGATGACTGATGTTTCTCCCAATGTTCTCAAGTCTTTGAGCAACTGTTCTCCCCAAAAGGCTAATAGTCTTCGACAAATTTTAGGTTTTGCAGGCCAGGAGGCAGAATCAAGTAATTATGTAGGTACTTACTTTCCACATATTTATTTTTTTGTGATGAAAATAAATTTATTTTTGGGGAAAACTACCATATTTGTTAAATGAGTGACCGCTGCTATAGTTTACTCATGTGTCATTTGTGTACAATCACCAATTAGTGTGAATGACAAGGTGTCCGAATGACTTGGGTTCCTATTAATCCACTCACTAAGCCAACTTCATGTCGAAGAAGAAAAATCACCAGAAAACAGACCAAGAAATGTCCGCTGCTAGAGGGCTTTTTGTTTATTTAAGTGTAATCTTTCAACGGATTAGTAGTTCTCTAGCTTGGAGTCTCTAATTTGATATAGCAACCAACTTAATTTCTGTGCAGACCATGAATTAGCAAATGTCTTCTAACCTGACAATCACTTTAAAAGCAAACCCTTAGTTGATCATGAAAACACACCTTTAAACACATGGCTCTAAACACCATTGTTTTGCCCACTCTGAAATGTATTTTTTTTCATCCTGACACTGTCATGTCATAACTTTTAAAATGATAATTTCATTACTATTGCTCAATTGCACTGATGCTTAGTAGGAGTAGCCTGTGGTCTATTCTTCATCATGCAAGTTTATAAAAAAGTAAGTTTGGAACTTCAATCATGGTTAGCCAGAAGACGGTCTTTCTTTCCCCCTCCACAATTAAATACATCAGTATTTCTGGAAGTCCTGTCCAAATTTTTTTTTTTTTTTCTTTTTTTTGCGGTACATGGGCCTCTCACTGTTGTGGCCTCTCCCATTGCGGAGCACAGGCTCCGGATGCACAGGCTCAGCGGCCAAGGCCCATGGGCCCAGCCGCTCCGCGGTATGTGGGATCTTCCCAGACCGGGGCACGAACCCGTGTCCCCTGCATCGGCAGGCGGACTCTCAACCACTGCGCCACCAGGGAAGCCCCTGTCCAAATTTTTTGACGTCCCCTCTGCATTGACCCTGGATAAGGAAGCGTGGAACTTGATTGTCTTTCAGCAGAAGGACTTTAATTGGTAATTATGGAGAGATCATTACTTCCTTTTCTCCTTGGATAGCTGACACAGGACAGGAAGGAAGGTTGGGGTTCTTTCTGAGACTCTAAAGATCCTTTTCAAAAAGCCCATTCCGTTCGCATTTCTTAGCGAATAAGCTCATCTGGTCTCCACACTTTATAAAGTTCTCTTTTACACACCCATCTTATCACGTGAGTCATCCGGTAGATTTAGGATTCTTATTCCCAAGCGGCTAGTAAGGCCTCAGGCCAGGTCTTTGGATGCTGTCTGTTTTTTTCATGAGAGTCACTTTGATAGGAGAAAGGGATTGGGGAAAGACACCTGAGTCTGGTGAGGCACATTAAGGATGCTGACCACACACCTCACCTGCTGTACTGAGACAGAGGGGACCTGGGATCCTTTGCTGCAGTGCTTGCACCTGCAAACATTTCCTCCGCAACAGAATACAAAGAAACTATAAGGAACTAAAAATAACTACATGCATGTGGCACTTGAGGCAAATTATAAACAAGATACAAAAAGACCAAAAACCCAACTGCCACTTCTGAGGTGTCCCAGCAAAAGCAGGGTCCTGGGCAAGATTCCTGCAAAGGTCACCACCAAGGGGGTGGGCAGACCACCCAAGCCCCCCTCCCCCCAAACCCCTGAACCTGCCCCTACCCTCACCCCATTTAAAAAACCAGCTCCCCCCACGCCCTCAGGGAATGAGCAAGGGAAACTGTTGCTTGTTTTCTCTCTCTCCTGCTGCAGCAGGAGTCCCAATAAAGCCTTGCCTGAATTTCTCATCCGGCCTTTTACAAATTTCTATTGATTAAAGAGTCCAAGGACCCCGGTTGGGAACTACCATTTTGCGCAGGGCCAGCCTGAAGTGGGAATGACGGTCCCCCCATGCTTTCTTGGTTATGCCACCATCATCCTCACTGTAAGTGTATTCTAAAATCCCATTAAGTGTATTCTCCATTGAACTCAGCTGAGTGAAGCTGACAGCCGGCCCTGCAGTGCCCCCTTGAGCGACTCTAGGGAGGCTGATCGCCTGCGGCGTGAGCGCCCCTCAGCAGCGAGCCTGTGGCCACAGCCCCCCCGCAGGGCCTTGGGAGGCAAAGCGGCGGACACTGCGCGCGGTGACGAGAAGTGTCACCCGGCCCCAGGGTTGGACTCCTGCTGCGCGCTCGCTGCGCGGCGGGGATTTGGGTGGGCGGGGCTGGGCGGGGCGGGGCGGAGCCTGGACCGCGGGAGCGCGTTGTCCGGCTCGCGACCTCGGAGCGGCGCGCGGCACCGTGGGGTCTCGGGGCCCGCCGCTCACAGACTGTCGGACCCTTGGATAAACATGGTGTGCTCCCCTGGAGAGGGGAGCGGGGCCACGTCCGCAGGCGGACCCGGCGAGGAGCCCGGAGCCCCCACCGTGCGGGGGAGAAGGCGGGGACGGTCAGGCCGCGCGGGCTCTTTAAGACCGTGTTCGTGCTAACGCCGACCGTGAGTAACCTGGTCCCAGGTCCCGGGAGAAACGAGTTGGCTTGGTCTAAATAGGCGGATGAGAGTTCAGATCTCTAGGCGTGGAATTGGGGGAAGTTATGAATGGGGGTGGGGGGTGGGGAGGCACATGGCTTTGAGCCAAAGCCCCCAGGCGGTACGCGGGCCTCTCACTGTCGTGGCCTCTCCCGTCGTGGAGCACAGGCTCCGGACGCGCAGGCTCAGCGGCCGTGGCTCACGGGCCCAGCCGCTCCGCGGCATGTGGGATCCTCCCAGACCGGGGCACGAAGCCGCGTCCCCTGCATCGGCAGGCGGACTCTCAACCACTGCGCCACCAGGGAAGCCCCGTTGTAAATTTTAACGGGGCTCCTGGAGAGGGCGGTGAGACTAAGCAAGGACGAGTTCCAGAGGGAGGAGCGTCCCCCACCTGGCTTCAGCGCCCTCGCTGCTGGTCCGTCATGATCTCGGTAAGCCCAGGAGATTGTGAACAGGTGGGGTGAGTGCAGGAAGCGTCAGGCCTTTGTGGTGGATGGGTAGGCAGAGGAACCCACTCCTGCGCGCTCTCAGGAGGCCTTGGGCATCCGGTTCTTCACGAAGTTTCCTGGGCCAAGAGGTGGAGCTGTGCCTGCCTTTGGGCCCACCAATGGGGTATTCGGCAGCCCCGGTAGGACCTCAGAGAGCACAGCAGCAGGAGTGGAGAAGTGGCTGGTGGCACTGTGCCTCCTTGGCCACCCCCCCCCCCCGGGGGGTTGGCCCACTGGGCATGGGAGTGGAGGAGCTGCTGAGTGGTCTGATGACACAGGCTGAGCTGAATGAGGATTGTGAAGTCACAGAGGAAGTAGGATGCTACAGCACCCCACTTGGCTGGGGCTGACAGCCTGGCAAGGAGAAAGGTGTTGCCCAGGCAGACCAGTGCTTTCTGCCCATGGAAGGGAGCCTCTGGGATAAGCAGGGCACACCTGGTGCCCATGGTGGACTGATGAGTTGGGTGAAGCCACCCTGGAACAGGGTCCCCCTCCCCATCCTAGGAATGAAGAGAGTCCCATGTCCACATTCTGGAAGCCTAAATACCACCCACACCATGTGGAAGGAAAGCAGTAGAGAGGCTGGGGGGCACATCCTGCTGCCCCCCCTTTTTCCCCAAATCCTCCCAGGCAGGCCGCCCTTGCTCTGTCCAACCCCAGCTCTGTGAGCTTTCTGTTCCTCCTGAGTAGCTGACTTCCAGGATTTGGGGTTCCAGCGCTATGGGGAATACACGCTGGAGAGCAGATGAGTCCCGAAGATCACCACTGACTCCCACCCTCCTACTTCTCTAGATGCAGAGCCCTCCAATGGCTGTGATAAGCCTTCTGTTCTTGGCAGTGATGTACGTTGTGCACCACCCTTTGATGGTCAGTGACCGGATGGACCTGGACACACTAGCCAGAAGTCGGCAGCTGGAGAAGCGGATGAGCGAGGAGATGCGCCAGTTAGAACTAGAGTTTGAAGAGAGGAAGCGAGCAGCTGAGGAGCTGCAGAAGGCAGAGAACTTCTGGAGAGGAGACACATCCAGTGACCAGTTAGTGCTGGGGAAGAAAGATGGGGGGTGGCCGTTCCAGGCGGATGGCCAGGAGGGGCTGCTGGGCTGGATGCTGGGAAACCTGTGGAACGCTGGCCTCTTTTGCTTTTTTCTCATCTTTGAGCTCCTGCGACAGAACATGCAGCACGAGCCGGCCTTTGATTCCAGCAGCGATGATGAGACGGAGGAGGTCCGTGTCGTGCCTGTCACCTCCTACAGCTGGTTTACCGACTTCCCCCCGAGGGAGGTCCTGGAATCCTTTCACAAACACCACATCCAGAACGCCACCCGGGACTTGCCCTGCACCTGCGAGTTCGTGGAGAGCTTTGTGGACGACCTCATCAAGGCCTGTCAGGTGCTCAGCCGCCAGGAGGCTCACCCACAGTTGGAGGACTGCCTGGGCATCGGGGCTGCCTTCGAGAAATGGGGAACCCTCCATGAGACCCAGAAATTTGACATCCTGGTACCCATTGTTCCTCCCCAGGGCACTATGTTTGTGCTGGAGATGAGGGATCTGGCCCTAGGCCGCCGCTGTGGCTGCGTGCGGGTCGAGTCAGAATGCGTGTGCAAGCGCGAGAAGCTTCTGGGGGATGTGTTGTGCCTGGTGCACCACCACAGGGACCACTCAGTCCTCTTGGGCAAGTGTAACAGCTCCATCAAGTTGGCTCTCTGCACCGGCTCCTACCTGGATGTGTGTAAGACCGTGCAGTGGTTCCGGAACATGGTGGGCAATGCCTGGGCCCTCGTGGCCCACAAGTATGACTTCAAGCTCAGCCTGCCGCCGTCCACCACCTCCTGCAAGCTCAGGCTGGACTACCGCTCAGGCCGCTTTCTCTCAATCCGCCTGGTCCTGGGTGTGCAACAGGAAGACACCTTGGTCTACCTGGTGAGTCAGGCCCCTGACCAGGAACAGCTCACCAGCGTGGACTGGCCCGAGTCCTTTGCAGCCTGTGAGCACTTGTTCCTAAAGCTGGTCGGGCGTTTTGCTCCCGAGAACACCTGTCACCTCAAGTGCCTCCAGATCATTTTGAGTCTCCGGGACCTTCAGAGTTTACCCCAGGGAGCATCCCACCCCATCCTCACCTCTTACCACTTCAAAACAGCCCTCATGCACCTGTTGCTGCAGTTGCCCCTAACAGACTGGCAGCATGACATGCTCTCCCAGCGGCTCCAGGACATCCTCTGGTTCTTGGGCCAAGGCCTCCAGAGAAGGTCTCTGCATCATTTTCTCATTGGTAACACCTTCCTGCCCCTGACCATCCCGATCCCTAAGACATTTCGTAATGCTGAGCCCGTCAATCTCTTCCAACACCTGGTGCTAAACCCCATGGCACATTCACAGGCAGTGGAAGAGTTCCACAACCTTCTGACCCAGGTGAAAGCTCTGCCCTGTGCCTCGCTGGCTGGGGCACATTAATGTACAGGCCATTAAAAAGGGGGAGAAGGTATTTCTGATTCTCAGGCTGCAAAAGAGTTTATTTTTCAGACACATCAGCAGTATATATGTGATTTTCACCTTGCCAGTGGGGACTATGATAGATTAAGACACTTAGGAGTACGTGAAGTGGTCATGAGGAGGGGTCCAGTCTGCAGGGCCTAATCAAGGCTGGGTCTTTGAAGTTTTCTTCTCCTGACTTAACTTTCATCATGACCCAAAGAGGGCCCAGAGTAACAGATGTTATGGGGGGGATCTTGCTGCTAGAGAGTTGAGATCCAGAAGAGGCCTGTGAAGTTGGGTTTTGTAGCAACACTGGAAGTCAGAGAACCAGAGAATCCTTCCATTCCAGCTTATTTCTTCTTTTGTGAATGACTCCGAGCACATCCCTTGTAAACTGGTCTCCTTACTGAACTCAGCCCAACTCATATCCAAGCTGATAGCACTCCATTTTCTCCCAAATACTGTGATGGTAGCTTCTCGTATTTTAGGATCGAATTTTTCAGACCTCCACTATTTGAAGATATAACCAAGATGTTTATTTGCCATTTTCTTAATTTAGCCCTATTTTCGTATGATAAGTGCAATATAATATAGCTGTTTTATGCATCTGAAAAGAACTCCAATACTACCCAAATAACTTGACTCACAGACAAATATTAAGTCAACAATGGCCTGTCCCATAGTTGAAATAATGTATTTACTAAAATTAATTACATTGTCAACATCTGATGACCTCCTCAGTACCTGGAAACATTATAAAACCCTTAAGGAGGACAGTCTTTTGGGGGGCTCTGAGATGAACAATTACAGTTTCTGAGGGGAGCCACTTATTTGTTAAATGGAAAGAAGTTTTAGCTACCACGTGTAGCTGTGCTTTTTCTCAGTCTGGTAATGCCTTTGTATTCTCTTTTCAAAGAAGACAAAGGGATTATTTGAACTGCATTTGTGGGTTTGCAAAGCGGGGTCATCACAATCCAGGCCCACTGCCAGGGCTGGACAGGAAGGGACTGTTAATCATTTCAGCTCTAACAAAGTCATAATTCTGGAGATATGATTGGTATATTTCCCCCTCTTTCAAAACCCTGGGCATCCTGGGGAGGAGTGTTAAAAAATGTGACTCTAGTTGTGGGTGTGGTTGTTTTGGAAATACCAGTGCTGTTCCTACCCAGCACTGCCAGGAAGATCTTTCGGGGGGGGGGGGGAGAACCTTGCCCCACATTTGATGTGACCTCATTGGGGGTTTAGGTGCTGGCCTTGTAGGCTTTGGTTATAGAATCCACACCCTCCCCGCAGCAAAAATCAATTACAAGTGTCCCAGAAGCTGATGCCAGCCAATATTTGGGGCTCCCACTGCTGCACGAGAGCTGCTGTGTTCTCGCGTTGTCTGCTGATATCTGCCAGGTACAGCTTTCAAGTGCAGATGCAATGATGGTTGGTTCTATGCTGGTGGGATTTTGGTGTTTTAAAAACATCCACATGTTTTTTGGGATTTCCCTGGTGGTGCAGTGGTTGAGAATCTGTCTGCCAATGCAGGGGACACGGGTTCGAGCCCTGGTCCGGGAAGATCCCACATGCCACGGAGCAACTAAGCCCGTGTGCCACAACTACTGAGCCTGCACTCTAGAGCCCACGAGCCACAACTACTGAGCCTGCATGCCACAACTACTGAAGCCCGCGCGCCTACAGCCTGTGCTCTGCAACAAGAGAAGCCACTGCAGTGAGAAGCCCGCGCACCGCAACAAAGAGTAGCCCCCCTCACCGCAACTAGACAAAGCCCACGTGCAGCAACAAAGACCCAACGCAGCCAAAAATTAATTAATTAATTAAAAAATACATATGCTTTTCGTTTAGAAAATAATTTGCTGGTATTTTACTTCCAAATCAATAAAGATTATTTTCTGTATCAGTCGGAATCTGCAATAACAGCAGATCAGCATTCTCACATGCCTGTTCCCAAGAAGTTCACGTTACCCTGATCGCTTCATCCAGTACATCCTGGTGTTTCTCAATGTACTTTGAACCAGTCTGCCCTGTGGTTTCCCAGTGGCATGGCCGGTAACCAGGAAAGAGTAATTCAGAATCTTAAGGAACACCTAAGTTATTCATTTTCATGGTGTCCAAACCAAAATATCAGCCAAATTAAAAGGTCTTAATGTCTACAAATGACATATATAAACTCCAGAGGGCATAGGCCCATCAGGTAGAAAGAAGGTGGTATGATCTAGGACTGGGTGGTTTCTAGTCTAGAACAAGACAAGGAAGAAAATGTAAAGTTATGAGTGGGCGGAAGAATACAAAGGGAACAGTCAGCAAAGCTTGGGTGGGGCAGAGAGTATAGAAAAAACAAGTATTAATGGGAAGAACAGAGCTGTTGTGCGCTGGGAATACTCTTACAATGAAAGGGGAAGCTTCCAGATACTCAGGAAGCTCAATTTTATTCTAAACAATACCTGGCTGGCACCCAGGATGTAACAGCGATTATACTAATGGGAATACTTAGCATTCATTGAGCATTGCCAATGGTCCAGGCACTGTTCTGAACATCTGGTAACTCATTTAATCTTCACACTATAACCCCACGAAGTGGGTGCTTTAACCCCTCCATTTTGCCTACGAGGAAACAGCCTCAGAAGTATACATAGCTCATAAGTGTCAGAGCCTGGAAGAAAGTACCCATCCTAGCAATCTTCCAGCACGATCTTGGGAATAAGATGTAGGGGTTACAGTGTTTTGAAAAGCAAAAAGCATTATATTAATTTTAAGATAAACTATATTAACATAAAGGGTGGTATGTTATTGTTTGGGAATTCTGGAAGATAGAAATTGTTGGTTCGTAGTCCAGTCCTTAGGAGGTCAGGAATTTTATATCACATACAAAAATTAAAGGCATTTGCTCAGAGGCCAAAACAAATGCAAAGCCATTTCAACTACATGCCCTGTTGAACCCCAGTGACTTGGTGGTTTATATCATGAACTACATTGATATAAGCCAGCTGCAGGCTGGAAGGTCAGGGCAAAGTTCAGCCAAAAGACTGTTCAGGTAGCCAGCTGATAACACTATTATTCCTCACCTAAACTAAGGCTGTTTGGCATCCATTTTGGGGAATTAGAATCTGGGTGAGGAGTGAAAAATAGGGAAGGGGGATGGCTCCAGCACTTTTCTGGCAGATGAGGGGTGGAGGAGGGGCCCCACTACTTTTGTAGACAGAAGAGTTGAGCTTTGCAGGCCACTGATACCAGTGTTGAACAGATCTCTTGGCACCCACCTAGTAGTCCTAATCCCCCCAGACAAAGAAGACATTCAGAACGGGAGGTGAAAGACCTGCCTGCACCAGGCGGGCCTGGCCTACAGAAATGCAGGGGGTGCAGTTGGCACTGCACATGGAGTCCCAGGCACTCAGCTCAGAAGGCTCCACTACAACCACCGGACAGCTTCACACCTCAGCCAATGGCTGATGGGTCTCCTAGGAGCCTTCCTCTGCTAAGAGTTCCAAGCCAGTTCAAAGCCCAGTGCGGTGGTGGGGTGGGGGGGGTGGGGAGGTATTATCATCACTGCTTTATAAATAGGGAAGAAAATGGGGCCCACAGAGGTTAAGACGCCCAAGCCAGGATTAAGCTTTTCTTCCAACTTTGCTCATTCAATACATATTTAAGCACTTGCTGTATCCGGGGCTAGCATCAGGCCCTGGGAAAACAATGGTGAGCAAAGACATGCTTTGTCCTCATGGGGCTGACAGTCTATGGAGGAGACAGATATGAAATAGTCACCCCAGCAGATGTAAAAGGTGACCTATAGGGAAAAGAATCTAAAAAAAGTGCCTATATGTATAACTGATTCACTTTGCTGTACACCTGAAACTCACACAGCATTGTAAATCAACTATACTCCAGTGAAAATTAACAAAAAAAAACAAGGGTGACAAGTTCCACTAAAGCCTCCAGGAACGACACTTGAGCCTATCAGGGAAGGCCTCCCTGAGGAAGTGATATGAGCTGAAATCTGACAGGAGTTAACTGGGTGAAGATGAGGATGGAGAGGATCCTAAGTAGAAGACGTGGCACATGCAGAGGCCCCGTGGTGAGAGCTGGCACCGTGAGGGCTAGTCTGAAAGGAGGCCCAGTGACTGGAGGGCAAGGAGAAAATGGAGGCAAGGTGCAAAGTGAGGCCGGAAAAGCTGTGGGGACCAGGCCCAGGAGGGCCTTGTAGATCATTTTAGAAGCTCCCTGAGCAATGGCACCTTTGAAGCATTTTGGACTTTGGGAGGAAGCGACAGGTCGGTTTTGTACTTAGCAACCACCACCCTGGGCCCAAGGAGAAGCGGGTCAGAGCAGGTTTGGGGCTGCTGCAGACCAGCGAGAAGGAAATACGGATGAAAAGAGATGCGGGATAGGAGAGATTTTTAGGAAGTAAAAAGACCCCAGCAATGGATTGTGTGTGAAGAGTGAGAAAGAGGGAGGCGTCCAGGATGACCCCTGGGTGCTGATTTGGGTTCCTGGGTAAACTTTTCTTTCTTCTATCTCACACTGCCTTAACTAAAGATTTGAAGGTGGTCACTGGGAGAACAACTTCGTGCAAAAAATAAATAGGCTTAAAACGTCGTTTTCAATAAGGTGGTACTTCTTTGGTTGCCAAAACGACTGAGGGGCACCGTTGGCATTTAGCGAGAAAATCGTGTCAGGGACGCTGAGCAGGAGTCCCACAGGCCAAGCGTTGTTTCACCCTGATGCCAATAGCACCCTGGAGAAGAAGCACTGTATAAAATGCCATACGTGTGTTAAGACATTATAGGATGTTCGAGGGATATTTGGGGGAACAGCCGTGGCCTTTTCTCCTGTAATACAGTTCTTGGGATGAGATGAAGCAGAATGAACAGATGGGTGGCACATTACACTTGTCTCACTTCCGACCTTAACCTTATTTTTTTTGAAAGGGAGGAAGATATCCAGGAATCTTTTCGCAGGAATCAATAAAAACGATGGTCTTCATTAAAAAAAAAAATGTACACACAACATTTTGCAT